AATTCCTCTGGATTAAGGATCCACTGGATCCTAACAGTGAAGTAATCACCTATCGTTTTGCCTCAGTATTATTTGGAGCTACGTCCTCACCGTTTCTTTTGCAAGCAACATTAGACACACATTTGAGGAAATCAAACAGCCCCTACAAGGCAGACATTAGCGACAACTTGTATGTCGACAATTTCCAGGGGACAACTAATGATCAAGCTGATCTGGTAGAAATCTACCATGAGGCTAACCGTGAACTATTAGGAGCCAATATGCCACTACAGTCATGAGCCTCAAATAATAAACTGCTTAACCAGGTAATCAAGAAAGAATTTCCAGATTATCAGGTACCCAGTCAATTAAAGGTTCTAGGCGTGGAATGGAACACCAGTACTGACGAGATGAATGTCAAGTCAGTACAAACTGATAATTCAACCCTTACCATGAGAACACTGCTCTCGTTTGTCAGTCAACCATTTGACCCTTTAGGCCTACTTAGTCCTACATTAATAAGGGGCAAACTCCTAATGCAGGAGTGCTGGCAGAAACATATGGGATGGGATGATCCGTTACCAAGTGAGTTACAAGCTAATTGGCAAATACTCTCAACGGATTTTAATCAGTTAGGCGTTTTGAAATTTCCTCGTAATGCTTCAGGACCAAACTTACCCACCAATTTGCACGTTTTCTGCGATGCCTCTGGCAAAGCATACGGCGCAGTAGCCTATTTAGTTAATAGTGCACAATTAATTTTGCTCACATTCAAAGCAAGAGTTGCTCCCATTAAGAAGAGATCTTTACCTCAAATGGAGTTGACTGCATTGCTGGTGGGAGTAAGATTGGCTCATTGCCTGGCAAAGACACTCAATAATGTACACTTTGGTGAGATTGTAGTGTGGTCAGACAACGAGGCAGTCTTACAATGGGTAAGAAACAATAACAACAAAACTCCCTACGTCAGTAATCGTGTCAGGGAGATTCATGAGTTATCTGCTGGATATAAATTTAGACATGTTCCTACTAAGGACAATCCTGCAGATTATTTATCTCGAGGGGTTAACATTAAAACAACTTGTCAAGTCTTCGCTCTGGTTCAATGGACCTTCATGGCTTGTTGGTGGTCAGTGGCCCAAACAAAAGCCACAAGTCATAGTGACCAATATCACCACTCCCATGAAAGAGCCAGAACCTCAACGAATATTAGCCATTGATCCTCACCATTATTCTATCTTAAGCAAATTATTACGAGTGACTGCCCATGTATTTGATTTTCTTGCTAAGGTAGGAATTCGACATGAGTTTCCCAATCCTATCCTCTACTGGATCAAACGTGCACAACAAGAGACATATGGAAGCAAATATGAAAATCTTCCAGATAAATTAACTAAGTCTCTAGGTATCTGGTATGATGCCAACACCCATAACATACTACGATGTGGAGGACGTTTGCTTCATGCAAAAATTGACTTGGACACAAAGAATCCAATTCTTCTACCTCGTCACCACATCGTCACTAAACTTCTTGTCTTACATCACCATCAATATGGTACCTTACATGGTGGAGTTTTAGATACTCTCACCGACCTTAGACAAAAGTACTGGCTTCCTCAAGGTCGTCAGACAGTTAAGTCAATTATTAAATCTTGTGTAATCTGTAAGAGATACGACGCTAGAGTATGTCCTTACCCAGGACCTCCACCACTCCCCGAAGAGCGAGTGGTTCATCTTCGTCCTTTCGAAACCACTGGTGTTGATTACACAGGAGCCTTACTTCTCACTGGTAACCCAGATAATGTACCAGTGAAAGCGTACATTTGTCTCTTTACGTGTGCTACAACCAGAGGCATAAATTTAGAAGTCACTTCAGGCATGAGTGCTGAAACCTTCATCCAGGCTTTCCGCAGATTTGCTGCCCACCGATCTTGTCCCAAATTAATGATATCGGACAATGGTTCCAATTTTGTGGCAGGAGAAAGTTGTTTGCGAGAAGTCTGGAACCGCCCAGAAGTACAGTCGGTCCTACAGAGACGACAATGTCACTGGAAATTCATAGCACCAAGAGCCCCTTGGCAAGGTGGGTTCTATGAGCGAATGGTTATCTTGAGATGATTTCGGGGCTTTTTAGTGTCCCCGCGGCCCGGTCCTCGACCAGGCCTCCACCCCCAGGAAGCAGCCCGTGACAGCTGACTAACACCCAGGTACCTATTTTACTGCTAGGTAACAGGGGCATAGGGTGAAAGAAACTCTGCCCATTGTTTCTCGCCGGCGCCTGGGATCGAACCCAGGACCACAGGATCACAAGTCCCGCGTGCTGTCCGCTCGGCCGACCGGCTCCCTAATGGTAGGCACAGTTAAGAAATGTCTAAGGAAAACTTTACACCGACAAAAGGTCAGTTACTCAGAACTCCAAACTATTGTTGTGGAAATCGAGGCGCGAGTCAATAACCGCCCAATCACCTACCTGTCTGATGATTTCACCCAGAGAGAACCTCTGAGTCCCTCACACTTGATCCATGGAGGTCTACTGAGCCCTCTCATCCCTTTGGCCGAAGAGGACCCTGTAGACCCGTCACATGTGACCAGAGGAGACCTGGTGGAAAGCTACCAACATCTCTCCAGAGTTATTAACAGGTGGAATGAGGTGTGGACTCGAGAGTACCTCACAGCTCTACGAGAGTACCACTACGGAGCTTCGAGTCCTTACAATAAGGTGCAATTAAAACCAGGGGACCTAGTACTAGTCGACAGTGATGGACCAAGATCAGAGTGGCCTATAGGCAAAATTGTTGCCATTCATCCAGATCATCAAGGTGTCCTGAGAGTAGTTAAAGTTTTATGCCGAGGCAACACTACTCTAAAAACTTTAGAGAAGCTGGTTCCCCTTGAATTGACTGAGCAAGAATGTCAGCCAGATCCAGTTTCCCCAGTAATTTCCGAGGGCAATGATTCTGATCCTCCAAGCAACCGCCCTACTAGAGCTGCTGCTCAACAATGTAGGCGAAATTTGCAAGCCTATTACAACTCTGAACAAGAGTAATTCCCTTTACATCCCACTTAGGTAACTATGATGATGCTGCGATGTGATATCACGTAACAAACCATTACAAGTCACTATGACCCAGGATATTCCCATCACAGTAGATTCTGTTGTTTAAATTGTGTGATTTAAAATCTTTAATTATTGTGTAGGCTATCAACAACATGTTTCATTTGACATGTAAATAGCAAGACTTGAGTTCTTGTAAGTCCTTGATAAATACGGGACGTTAGTTATGTGTGTACTAACATACTAACATATTAACCTACTAATATACTAATATTAATCTCAACTTCGGGATAGGTCAGTACTCCACAGTACACTACGACCCTAGAATCCTCCCCCCGGAGTTATGTTGGAAATTTCCAACACCGAATACAACACTGTTGTATTCTCATTAATTATTACTAATTCTACTAATCATTGTAGTAAGTAAAATTAACACAACGTAGAATTCACATGTACTAATAATCACATCTGTACCATAGGCTAGAATTCTCACGTCACCCGACGCCAGTATTGCATCAGATTTCATTGTAATAAACACATTTATGTCCAATATGCCTGAGAATTGAATTCGATTCTCTATAACAAAAGGTGTTCTGTGTGATAATTAATTACAGATAAATTGACCTCCAACTAAAGCCAAATAGAGCGTTAAAGTCATAACAGTTATCTAGTAATAAAAATTAAAGTCACGCGTGAATGCCATGGAGAGACATTAATTCTTCTCCATTATACGTTTACTATCATAGCACTGGCAAATAATAATATTTCACTCTTCCAAATGATAAACCCGTCCTAACTCGAACATTTCAAGCACAACCACGAGAAATGCTAATATCCATAATAATAACTTGGTTAATGAAAGCGAGACGCGGAACGGGGAGGGAGAGGACGCCAGTACACGTATTGAGACGCTCCCGAGCGGACCTGCTCACGTAGTGCTCACGAGGAGACGACATTACCCATCCATCCGGGTAAACGCTATTCATTCTCCCGAAGAAAGTCGCCACTGTGAGGCGTGAAGAGCCTTGCAGACAATATCTTCACCTGGTGTCAGTGTCATACAAGGAACCTATCAAATCTGGTTCTTTGTGACTCAACGTGACCGGCCAGTAAAGCGCGTCATTATCCAGGATAGGCCAAGCCAGAGCCTGGGACGCGAATTTCGGCAAACTTAAACTTACACAGTGCCCATATTAGCTAAGTATCTTATCCTTATTTGATGCATCTGATAGGGTGTAGAATTATAGCTGGGTAGTTTGTCGTGACGACGCATAACAACAACAAATCACAGGTCATTATCCTTTACCCATTATTAATATTAATTTATTGAACATAGAAATCCAGTAGTTTAATTAGTTGCTACTGTAAACATTTATTTTGCAGCCTGTGAGAAGAATTCTCCTAGCTGCCTACTCCCATGTTATCCAGCTCCTAAGGGTTCCACGCCGAGCCCAGGAGGATTAGAGGAAGCGTCGTGATTCACTTTAAGGAATCGTCATTAAGCTAAGATTCCTTTGTATTCCTCTAATTGATTATTTGTAATTTCTTACATGCAGAACTCTTTTTATTGGATTGACATGTGTTTATTATGATTATTATTATTATATTCATAATCTATGTTCTCATTAATGATAATGACAATGATTTCACAATTATTCATGGGATTAGATTATTATATCTTGGATTAGTGAACGAACCACACTAGTTCCTGGACGTACTGAGTTCCAGTAATAACCCCCCAATGTAGGTGTTTGAGGTTTGATTCATTTAATTATACAGCCCATTAATTATTTCTATGATCATATTGTCTAGTATTTTTATCCATAGTTACTGGTTCATCTAGGAATTATCAAATGGTCATAATCTCTCAGTTTCCCTCTTTACTTTAAAAGCGGGTGGTCCTTCGCAATTTAATTTACTACATTACTATTTAAATAATTAGATTCAAGCCCCAAATGTCCCACAGTATTATAATATTAAGGATCTCCACAAGATTACCCGACAACCAATCACATATCTAAAGGAGATCCTGAAAGACCTATGTAACTATAATGTTAAGAATCCTCACAAGAATATGTGGGAACTCAAGCCCGAGTACCGTCATTACAAGCTTGTCGAAAAGGCTGTGGAAAATTCAGTGTATGATTAGGTTCATACTAAACTTTGTTTCACAGTACAAAGGTAAAGAAAACGTGAAAGATCCAGGCAAATATTAGCCTCATACTCCAAGTCTGAGGTTATGATCTACCTTGCGGTGCTTGTGCCTCTATCCGCTGCCCTTTACTGCAAGCCACGGCCGCTGCTCTGTCCCGTCTTCCAGACTGTGCAGTATCAGGACGAGTGGCAGAATGTCACAGAGATCGTGGTGTTTCCCATCAACCAGATCCTCCTCAACAACATGTTCCAAGTCAGTGATGTTCCCGTGACCTCCGTCACAGTCCAGACGGTGACGGCACCAGCCCTGCAGCTGGTAATGATTGAGGTGAAGGTGGTGGAGGTGACTAAGCCCCTGATGGTGATGAACGTCGACATTGTCACCACCATAGAAGCAGCATCGCCTTTAACTTACTTTTAGGACACCTTGAATATATCACAGATTCAATGTATCAATATCACGTGTTCATTGTATAGATATCATAAAAATAAATACTTATACAGAACTTCTTCTTGCTTATCCTATTTTAGATCAATGTTTTGACTAAGAATATAAGAAAAATGGAAAATCGCTGCTTACAGTGATCTGTTGACGAAATAAGGCAAATAGGACACTGGGATTTATTTATCAAAGCATTAGTAATAAAACACCTTGTGTTATTCTTCAGTTATATCCTGCTCTGGTTAGGCCCCATTTACATCATGCAGTTTAGTTTCGATTGCCGTGTTATATGTTGGGAATCCTGACACCCAAATTATTAACCCCTGTCACCACAATATAAATTGGTTGTGACCAGAAACTAATTTTACTAAGCATTAATTTCAAGTAGGTGAATGTCAGCAGTTTTCTAGAAATCCATAACCGCGCAATTGTGTCAGTTACCACGTGCGATGACTGCTTTTTTTTAACAAATTATTTAACAGTTGTGATTATGAGTTTCAAACGGCGAGGGAAGGAGAATAAAAAGCAAAAATGGTTTCAAACCTCAATACAGGTAAGGAAATAAATAAAAATTATCAATAAATATAAGTCTCCGCGGTGTAGTGGTAAGACACTCGCCTGGCGTTCCGCGAGCGCTTTGCCATGGGTTCGTATCCTGGCCGGGGAGGATTTACTGGGTGCAAATCCTTAACTGTAGCCTCTGTTTAACTCAACAGTAAAATGTGTACTTGGTTGTAACAACGATTCTTCGCGGCGGGGATCGTATTCCAGGGACCTGCCCGAAACGCTACGCGTACTAGTGGCTGTACAAGAATGTAACAACTCTTGTATATATCTCAAAAAAAAATAATGCATAGTGTAGCTATGCACCTCTAAATTAATTAAGTGCGTCATTTTGTGTTTAAATCCATGGAAAATAGTGGTTTTAAATCCGCGGAGTTGACGCGCACATTAATATCCAACCATAAGACTAAGCACTCACGTAAATTTATCCATTAATTGTGTGGATTATTTTCGTGTTAGGGTCAATAACATATTAATAAATACTCATCAAATACCAGAGTTGAAGAGCTTACCCCATACTAATTATATATACATCACTCAAAATAAGAGTCTTTTATATAAAACCAAACAAAATACATAGCACTATTCCATTACTCCTCATTATTATGGTATATAAATTTATTGCCAAACCTTAACTGTAGTTAGGACAATTTTAGGCAGGAGCCCAACTAAATGTTGCTCAATCTAGCCTAATCTATTGATTTGTGCTAAGCCACTAAGGATAGGAATCTCATTTAGTTAGCACTGTACTAAGGAATGTGCACTAGCCAACATTTAATATATGGTGCAGACCCAAAACAGGGTGGGAATTATTAATTACATGAATTGTGTTCAACATATTTACTCTTAAGTTATTTATATTGTGTTTAACCTACAATGTGCCACTGATGCATCCAAATGTGAAAATGAAGCAGTATTGGGGAAATTTGACAAAAATCGGCGGGAAAATAGACACGGAAAATGAGTCACTATCCAATCAGGACGATCTAAATAGCGTTTTGAAATTGTAAAAAGATTGGCAGATGCAGTTTAATGGTGACATATGTATGGTTTTGAGGCACGGAAATGATGATAGAGTTCCATGATACAAGCTAGATGGTGTTGAGATTGCGAAAAGGATCTGGAAGTTATGATCGGTAAGAAAATAAAATTCATAAATGAATGCATAAATGCTCGTAATAAGGCAAATAGGACACTGGGATTTATTAATCGAAGCGTTAGTAACAAGACACCTGGTGTTGCTCTTCAGCTATATCTTGCGCTGGTTAGGCCCCATTAAGATTATGCGGCTTAGTTTTAGTACTATTGAATCGATATATATTCACTTAAATGTGCCCAACACATGATGACAAAGTTAATTCCCAAAATTAGAAAACTGTCTTATGAAGAGAGATTAACAAAGTCTAAATTGCAGTCTATGGAAAGGGGAAGAGGTAGTGTGTGATAGAGGTGTACAAGTGGATGAATGATCATAACATAGGTGGGTATTAAAAGTATTAACACAAGACAGAACACGAAACAATGGGTATAAATTGGATAAGTTTAGATTTAGGAAAGATCTGGGTAAATACTGGTTCGGTAAGAGGGTTGTTGATTTATGAAAACCAATTACCACATAACGTGGTACATAAGAACAAAGGCAACTGCAGAAGGCCTGTTGGCCCATACGAGGCAGCTCCTATTTATAACCACCCTATCCCACTCATATACATGTCCAACCCATGCTTGAAACAATCGAGGGACCCCACCTCCACAATTTTACGCGGCAATTGGTTCCACAAATCAACAACCCTTATACTGAACCAGTATTTACCCAAGTCTTTTCTAAATCTAAACTTATCCAATTTATACACATTGTTTCGTGTTCTGTCTTGTGTTGATACTTTTAATACCCTATTAATATTCCCTTTGTTATGTCCATTCACCCACTTGTAAACCTCTATCATGTCACCCCTAACTCTTCGCCTTTCCAGTGAATGCAACTTAAGCTTTGTTAATCTTTCTTCATATGAAAGATTTCTAATTTGGGGAATTAACTTAGTTATCCTACGCTGGACACGTTGATGCGTTTTTTGTTGTAGCAACAAATTGTAGCAACAATTTGCAAATGTTGCTACTCAAACCTGAATCTAAATCATTTATATATATTATAAACAACAGAGGTCCCAGGTCAGAGCCCTGGTTGGACACTTGAACGTGTCCAACGTAGGATGACTAAGTTAATTCCTCAAATTAGAAATCTTTCATATGAAAAAAAAATCACAAAGCTTAAGTTGCATTCACTGGAAAGGCGAAGAGTTAGGGGTGACATGATAGAGGTTTACAAGTGGATGAATGGAAATAAAAGGGGGGATATTTATAGGGTATTAAAAATATCAACACAAGACAGAACACGAAACAATGGGTATAAATTGAATAAGTTTCGATTTAGGACAGACTTGGGTAAATACTGGTTCAGTAACAGGGTTGTTGATTTGTGGAACCAATTGCCGAGTAACGTGGTGGATGTGGGGTCCCTCGATTGTTTCAAGCGCGGGTTGGACAAGTATATGAGTGGGATTGGGTGGTTATAGATAAGAGCTGCCTCGTATGGGTCAATAGGCTTTCTGCAGTTACCTTTGTTCTTATGTTCTAATGTCATAAATATGAGCTGCCTCATATGGGCCAATTGACCTTCTACAGCTACCTTTATTCTTGTGTCTTATGATCCCTTTGTTTTGTGAGTACCTTGAGGGACCTGCGCTTCCTTCGTTGTCTTACTTTAAAAGTATCAACACATGGCAGAACATGAAATAATGGGTATAAATTGGATAAGTCTATATTTAGGAAAGACCTGGATAAATGTTGACCAGACCACATGCTAGAAGGTGACGGGACGACGACGTTTCGGTCCGTTCTGGACCATTCTCAAGTCGATTGTGAGTCGTCGTCCCTTCACCTTCTAGTGTGTGGTCTGGTCAACATTCTTCTTCAACGTTGTTGTGACTCATCGCCTGCGACCTGGGTAAATATTGGTTCGATAACAAGGTTGTTGATTTGTGGAACCAATTACTACGTAACATAATAGAAGTATGATTGTTTCAATCATAGGTAAGACTTGATGTGGTTTTCCTTGCTAAATTCAACGTATCCAACATCACTAACAACCGCATGTTGGCACTATCCACTGACACTATCAATCGTATGTGGATTTGTGGAACCAATTACCACATAACGAGGTGGAGATTGTTGTCCCTATATTGTTTCAAACGTGGGTTGGACATGTATATGAGTGCAATTGGGTGGTTATATATATAGGAGCTGACTCATATGGGCCAATAGGCCTTCTGCAGTTACATATGAACATACATAAGAACAAGGTAACTGCATAAGGCCTATTGGCCCATACGAGGCAGCTCCTATCTATAACCACCCAATCCCACTCATACATGTCCAACCCACGCTTGAAACAATCGAGGGACCCCACCTCCACCACGTTACATGGTAATTGGTTCCACAAATCAACAACCCTGTTACCGTACCAGTATTTACCCAAGCCTTTCCTAAATCTAAACTTATCCAATTTATAACCATTGTTTCGTGTTCTGTCTTGTGTTGATACTTTTAATACCCTATTAATATCCCTTTTGTTATGTCCAGTAATCCACTTGTAAACCTCTATCATGTCACACCTAACTCTTCGCCTTTCCAGTGATGCAAGTTAAGCTTTGTTAATCTTTCTTCATATGAAAGATTTCTAATTTGGGGAATTAACTTAGTCATTCTATGCTGGACACGTTCAAGTGAATTTATATCCATTCTATAGTATGGCGACCAAAACTCAACTGTATAATCTAAATGGGGCCTAACCAGAGCAAGATATAGCTGAAGAACCGCAACAGGTGTCTTGTTAATTACGCTTCGATTAATAAACCCTAGTGTCCTATTTGCCTTATTACGAACATTCAGGCATTGATCTTTTTGTTTTAAATTCTTACTAATCATAACTCCCTGATCCCTTTCGCAATCCAACTTCGCAATCTCAACACTTACCTTTATTCTTATGTTCTTAGACATATATGAATGAGATTAGGTGGTTATAAATAGCAGCTTTCTTGTGTGGGGCCAGTAGGACATCTGCAGTTACGTTTATTCTTATTTTTAGGAAATACCTGGGAAAATAGTGGTTCGGTAACATGGTTGTTGATTTGTGGAACCAATTATCGCATATCTTGGTAGAAGTAGGATCCCTTGATTGTTTCAAGTATGCGTTGGACTTATATATTAATGGGATTGGGAAGATATAAATAGGTGCTGCCTCGTATGGGCCAATAGGCTTTCTGCAGTTACCTTCATTCTTGTTCCTAATTCCCTATTAATATCCCGTTTGATGTGTCCATCCATCCACTTGCACACCTCTACTAAGTCACTCCGAATTCTTGGCCTTTCTAGAGAATGCAAATTAGTACTACTTAGTCAATCTTTCTTCATATGACAAGTTTCTAATATGCAGGATTAACTTTGTTATTCTCGTATGGGCCAATAGGCCTTCTGCAGTTACCTTCATACTTATGTTCCTAATACCCTATTAATATCCCGTTTAATGTGTCCATTCATCCACTTGTACACCTCTACTATGTCACTCCGAATTCTTGGCCGTTCTAGAGAATGCAAATTAGTACTACTTAGTCAATCTTTTTTCATATGACAAGTTTCTAATTTGCAGGATTAACTTTGTTATCCTACGCTGGGCGTGTTCTAGTGAATTTATATCAGAAAACGTATATTTTAACTTGTTAAAAATATTTTGATTCATATTCATAAACAGTCTACTCATGCACATGTATAAACATACATGCCTCGTATTGTCAGTTTAACTTTATTCTAATGTTCTTAGCAATTTGAATATTTATCGGCATCGAGAAATAACCAAATAAACAAGTTCCATCATCCAGCAACATCAGTCACCTGAGATAGCTGCTACATAACCCCCCGGTGGCCACAACGGGTTTGCTCATTACTCATTTAGCTCACAGACTACAAGGTTGGTCACATGCAGTACCACCACTGCAGTCACTCTCTCCATCACCTGTGTTCCCTTACCAACACCACTCCCAACCACCAATCACCAGGTGTTTTCAACAACAACCACCACATCGACAAACTTCACCAGCCCTCTTCCAGATATTTTCTGAAACACTAGCACGTGTCGGAAAGACGTTTTATAAAGTGGTCAAGTAACTATATATTCTCGTGTTTTCCATCATGAGCCAGACAATCCTAAAGCGCATAATAGAAGAGCAAATGTATAGCATTGCAGTAGCAGGAGCCACCCACATCTTCACAGACGGATCGGTGGACACAGAAAATGAGAGTGCTGGCGCTGCTCTTTGCACGACCAGCGTTCAGGCATATTGGGGACTGGGAGGACTAGTATCATCAACCCAAACTGAGCTGTTCGCCATACAACAGGCATTCGCATATGTGATTGCACAAAACACTCAAAATGCAATCTTACACACAGACTCAAAAGCTGCACTTCAAATACTAGGACAAAAACAGTGGAAAGATAATGTGGAAATAATTACCACCATTTTGTATCAAGGAGCAGTCGCTAAAGGCAAAGGCCTCAACATAACTTTAAACTGGATCCCATCCCATATTGGAATCCCATTAAATGAAAAAGCTGATGAAATTGCTAAATTGGCAACTCGTCATCCAGTGATACATAAAACAATTCAACCCAGCCTAGAGAACATAAAAAACATCATCACCAAAAAACTCTCACATCTCAACAAAGCCTACCTACACCAGAGAATAGCTGAAGGTTCGCCATCTGCAACATGGTATCTTCAGGCAACCAAATTAGAATGGTTAAATATCCCAAAAGGAATCCACAGGGAAATAGCAGTTAGGCTATATAGACTACGTCTAGGTTACAGATGCAACTGGGAGATTGTTGAACCCCGACAGAGAGAGTGCATCTTCTGCCAAACTGTCACAGAAAAGCCATTACTTCACTATCTTCTGACCTTAGAAGAGCTTTAAGAGTTCCTGAATCATGCAGTGGCCACCCTGAAGCCATCAACAAAGCCACTCTCCTGGTCAACAAAGGTGTCCAGCAGCTGGACACCCTCATAAAGACTGTGAAGCAGTATCCTCCCCCACGATAACAGCTTGATGGTTAAATGCAACCTCAGAACACTGGGGAAAAAAAAAATTGTACCACTTACGGGCTATTCATGCCCGTGCCACCTCTTGGGTGGCTTAATCTTTATCAATCAATCATGAGCCAACAGTCTAAGATGGACTTGGATATTACGAATTGCAGCCGTGGGCTGTGGCTGGTCAAGGTACCTAAATATTTGGGGGACAAATGGGCAGACTGTGCTGGCCATGACGTTGGAAAGCTTAAGATTACCAAGGTGCCTGGTAAACCTCCGACAATAACCTTTAAATCTAGTGAACATACCTTGAAGGACGGGAAAATTCCTCGAGAGCACAAGGTAATTTCTCATAGTTTAAAAGAAATGACACTCGGAGTTCTTTCTGAACCAGATCTCGGATGCTGCAGTTTCCGAGACACAGCAATTGTCCTTTGAGGGACAAGTCATCCACAAACTAGAATGTCAGCCTGTAGTGGACGACTACTATATCAATCAGAAAAGGGAAGCTGTGAAGAAAGCTGCCCAGTCTCTTCATACGGTAAAGCTTATTGACAGACCCCTCAACGGCTATAAGCCTATTTCACACCATAAACATAATGTTCATTTAGAGCAGAAGAAGAAAGCAGGAGGCAAGACGATTCGTGATGATAAAGATAAGGTCATGGAGTTGTTTGCTGCATTTGAAAAGCATCAGTATTACAATATTAAGGATCTCCACAAGACTACCCGACAACCAATCACATATCTAAAGGAGATCCTGAAAGACCTATGTAACTATAATGTTAAGAATCCTCACAAGAATATGTGGGAACTCAAGCCCGAGTACCGTCATTACAAGCTTGCCGAAAAGGCTGTGGAAAATTCAGTGTATGATTAGGTTCATACTAAACTTTGTTTCACAGTACAAAGGTAAAGAAAACGTGAAAGATCCAGGCAAATATTAGCCTCATACTCCAAGTCTGAGGTTATGATCTACCTTGCAGTGCTTGTGCCTCTATCCGCTGCCCTTTACTGCAAGCCACGGCCGCTGCTCTGTCCCGTCTTCCAGACTGTGCAGTATCAGGACGAGTGGCAGAATGTCACAGAGATCGTGGTGTTTCCCATCAACCAGATCCTCCTCAACACCGTGTTCCAAGTCAGTGATGTTCCCGTGACCTCCGTCACAGTCCAGACGGTGACGGCACCAGCCCTGCAGCCGGTAATGATTGAGGTGAAGGTGGTGGAGGTGACTAAGCCCCTGATGGTGATGAACGTCGACACTGTCACCACCATAGAAGCAGCATTAACTTACTTTTAGGACACCTTGAATATATCACAGATTCAATGTATCAATATCACGTGTTCATTGTATAGATATCATAAAAATAAATACTTATACAGAACTTCTTTTTGCCTAACCTATTTTAGATCAAAGTTTTGACTAAGAATATAAGAAAAAAGGAAAATCGCTGCTTACAGTGATCTGTTGACGAAATAAGGCAAATAGGACACTGGGATTTATTTATCAAAGCATTAGTAATAAAACACCTTGTGTTATTCTTCAGTTATATCCTGCTCTGGTTAGGCCCCATTTACATCATGCAGTTTAGTTTCGATTGCCGTGTTATATGTTGGGAATCCTGACACCCAAATTATTAACCTCTGTCACCACAACATAAATTGGTTGTGACCAGAAACTAATTTTACTAACCATTAATTTCAAGTAGGTGAATGTCAGCAGTTTTCTAGAAATGCATAACCGCGCAATTGCGTCAGTTACCACGTGTGATGACTGCTTTTTTTAACAAATTATTTAACAGTTGTGATTATGAGTTTCCAACGGCGAGGAAAGGGGAATAAAAAGCAAAAATGGTTTCAAACCTCAATACAGGTAAGGAAATAAATAAAAATTATCAATAAATATAATGCATTGTGTAGCTATGCACCTCTAAATTAATTTAGTGCGTCATTTTGTGTTTAAATCCACGGAAAATAGTGGTTTTAAATCCGCGGAGTTGACGCGCACATTAATATCCAACCATAAGACTAAGCACTCACGTAAATTTATCCATTAATTGTGTGCATTATTTTCGTGTTAGGGTCAATAACATATTAATAAATACTCATCAAATACCAGAGTTGAAGAGATTACCCCATACTAATTATATATACATATCTTAAAATAAGAGTCTTTTATATAAAACCAAACAAAATACATAGCACTATTCCATTACTCCTCATTATTATGGTATATAAATTTATTGCCAAACCTTAACTGTAGTTAGGACAATTTTAGGCAGGAGCCCAACTAAATGTTGCTCAATCTAGCCTAATCTATTGATTTGTGCTAAGCCACTAAGGATAGGAATCTCATTTAGTTAGCACTGTACTAAGGAATGTACACTAGCCAACATTTAATATATTGTGCAGACCCAAAACAGGGTGGGAATTATTAATTACATGAATTGTGTTTAACATATTTACTCTTAAGTTATTTATATTGTGTTTAACCTACAATGTGCCACTGCTGCATCCAAATGTGAATGTTGGATAATTCCAACACTGTTGTATTCTCATTACTTATTACTAACCATATTAAATGTTGTATTAAGTAAAATTAACAACTCGTAGAATTCTCATGTACTAATAATTCATCTGTGCATTAGGCTAGAATTCTCACGTCACCAGTATTGCGTCAGATTTCTTTACAGTAAAACACATTATATTCAATTTGTGTGAGAATTAAATACGATTCTCCATAATTAAAGCATTCTGTATGACAACTGATTGCAGACGAATTGTTCTCTAACTAAAAGCCGAATAGGGCGTTAGAATCATAGCGTCTACCTCACGATAAAGTTAACGTCATCAATGAATGCCATGGGTAGACATTAATTCCTCTCCCTTATATATTTACTATTCCTAGATCGGTAAATAATAATATTTCGTTCCTCTAAATAATAAACCCGTCCAGTCTCTTAAGTTTCAAGCGCGAATGCGAGAAAGATTAATGTTCGTGACAATAATTTGTGTTATGAACGTCGACTCGGCGTGGGTTGGAGGGACGCCATCCATCCTCAGTACGCGGACACGTGCAGAGCCGAAAGGAAGCAAAGCTGCGCTTACCGTACTCATAAAAGACGCCATTGTCCAGCAAATAGGACAGGTGTGATCCATCCACAGATGAAAGCCGCCACTGTGAGGCGTGAATGACCTTGCAGATAATATCTTCAACTAGTGCTGGTGTTAAATAAGGGACCCCTTGACTTGGTTCCTGACGACACGTGATCAGCCAGCTTGAAACGCATCACTATCCAGGATAGGTTCACCGGAGCCTGGGATGCGAAATCACGGCAATCTTAATACTTATACAGTGCCCACAGCTAAGTATTCCTTTATTTGATGCATCATTTACAGGTCTGTTAATAGCAGGGTGATTGTTCGTTACGCAGCGGGATAACACCTAATAACAGGTGATTAGAATTCCATCTGTAGATATTAATATTTTTGAATATGAATTGAGTAGTTAAATCAATTGCTACTGGTAGTTATTTATCTTGCAGTCCGAGAGAAGAATTCCTCCGGCTGCCTCCTCCATGTTAACCCGTACCACTCGTCAGTGTACCGAATCTGGAGAATTAAGAGGACTACTATGGTTATCTAAAGGAATCTGCTTCAAGCTAAGGCTTATTTCTTTTTTTCCATTTCCTTGCAATTTGATTTATTCAGAATGTTTGATATTAATGTGTGATTTACTGTAACTCATTATTATGCTCATATTCATGTTCTTCTTTATGTGAATGATATTATATTCAGCATTATTTATAGGATTAGATTATTATTAATTGAATTAGTGAACGAACCACACTGATTCCTGGACGTACTTACCTCCAGTAATAACCCCCCAATGTAGGTGTTTGAGGTTTGTTTCTTTAATAATACAGCCCATTAATTATTCTTATGATCATGCTTTCTAGTTATATCCATAGTCACTAGTTTTCTCTAGAATTTTATCCAATGATCTGAAATTCTCAGTTTCCCTCTTTACTATAAAAGCGGGTGGTCCTTCGTAATTTAATTTGCTACATTAATTATTAATTAATCAGAATCAAGCCCAAATATCCCACAGTGAAAATGAAGCAGTATTGGGCAAATTTGACAAAAATCGGTGGGAAAATAGATACGGAAAATGAGTCACTATCCCATCAGGACGATCTAAATAGGATTTGAAATTGTAAAAAGACTGGCAGATGCAGTTTAATGGTGACATATGTATGGTTTTGAGGCAAGGAAATGAAGATAGAGTTCCATGATACAAGCTAGATGGTGTTGAGATTGCGAAAAGGATCTGGAAGTTATGATCGGTAAGAAAATAAAATTCATAAATGAATGCATAAATGCTCGTAATAAGGCAAATAAAACACTGGGATTTATTAATCGAAGCGTTAGTAACAAGACACCTGGTGTTGCTCTTCAGCTATATCTTGCGCTGGTTAGGCCCCATTAAGATTATGCGGCTTAGTTTTAGTACTATTGAATCGATATATAAGAACATAAGAACAAAGGTAACTGCAGAAGGCCTATTGGCCCATACGAGGCAGCTCCTATTCTATAACCACCCAATCCCACTCATATACTTGTCCAACCCGTGCTTGAAACAATCGAGGGACCCCACCTCCACAATGTTACGCGGCAATTGGTTCCACAAATCAACAACCCTGTTACTGAACCAGTATTTACCCAAGTCTTTCCTAAATCTAAACTTATCCAATTTATATCCATTGTTTCATGTTCTGTCCTGTGTTGATACTTTTAATACCCTATTAATATCCCCCCGGTTATGTCCATTCATCCACTTGTAAACCTCTATCATGTCGCCCCTAACTCTTCGCCTTTCCAGTGAATGCAACTTAAGCTTTGTTAATCTTTCTTCATATGAAAGATTTCTAATTTGGGGAATTAACTTAGTCATCCTACGCTGGACACGTTCAAGTGAATTTATATCCATTCTATAATATGGCGACCAAAACTGAACTGCATAATCTAAATGGGGCCTAACTAGAGCAAGATATAGCTTGAGAACCACACCAGGTGTCTTGTTACTAACGCTGCGATTAATAAATCCAAGTGTCCGATTTGCCTTATTACGAACATTTATGCATTGATCCTTTTGTTTTAAATTCTTACTAATCATAACTCCCAGATCCCTTTCGCAATCCGACTTCGCAATCACAACACCATCTAGCTCGTATCTTGTAACTCTATCATCATTACCTAACCTCAGAACTTTACATTTATCAGCATTAAACTGCATCTGCCAATCCTTTGACCATTTCAAAACCCTATCTAGATCAACTTGAAGTGATAGTGAGTCCTCCTCCGAATTAATTTCCCTACCGATTTTCGTATCATCGGCAAATTTGCAAATGTTGCTACTCAAACCTGAATCTAAATCATTTATATATATTATAAACAACAGAGGTCCCAGGACAGAGCCTTGAGGCACTCCACTTACAACATTTTCCCACTCTGACTTGATTCCATTTATACTAACTCTCTGTTTCCTTTGGTATAGCCATGCCCTAATCCAGCTTAATATAGCACCCCCAATACCATGAGACTCTATTTTTTAATCAGTCTTTCATGTGGCACTGTATCAAAAGCTTTGCTAAAGTCAAGGTATACAACATCGCAATCCTTACCACTATCAACTGCCTCAACAATGCTAGAATAAAAAGATAACAAATTTGTTAAACATGAACGGCCATTTATAAAACCATGTTGCGACTCAATTATTAATTTATGTTTTTCAAGATGAAGACGAATTTTATTTGCTATTATAGATTCGAGTAACTTTCTTACAATAGACGTTAGGCTAATTGGTCGATAGTTAGACGC